CCTGAGGTTATTTTTTCTCCTTAACACTTAATCATCATCCGAAATACTGTACATTTGACTTTTCTGTTTATTGTTTTTTCCATTTAAAATATAACCTCCATGAGGACAGAACATGGTCTACTTCATAGCCACATTTCAAGTGCCTAGAACAGTGCTTGGGCATCTAATAGGCACTATAAATTATCTGTTAAATGAAGTGTTATTGAATAAATCAGGTTAGCATACCTCCCTTGGATATTATTACATAGCCATTAGTTTTTTAATGAAAAGTTTGATATGCCAGAGAAAAATGGGCATCCAAATCTTACATCACAAATACATCAAAGTCTCTCTGGGAAAGCAGCAGTAGCACCATGTATATACTGAAGACTACACATGGGCCTTAGAATAACACCAATCAGACTTCAAATCCTTGACTCTGTTTCCTCGCAGTGTGACCACTGGCATATTATTTGAGCTTTCTGAAGCCTAATTTCTTCACAGGTAGGGATAAGAACCCTTTAATAATTCTGTTCTAAGAATAAGGGAAAATAATGCATGTAAGTGACCCATCATATATTAAGGGCTAAGTAAGCTTCATTTCTAATACTTCACATTGATTGTCAAAATGTAATTCCTGGGCAACTTAGATAATACTTCTCTTTTTTTTTTTTTTTCTTTTTTTTTTCATTTTTATGCCAGGCAGTGAATATGTGAGCACTTTTATATTATTTTCTGGCTTTCAGCATATCTGAAATGTACCATAGTTTTTAAACAAGAAAAATACTTAACTTTTGACTAAAAACCGGCCAGAATTTCTCATACTTCCCTTTATATGGCTTTAGATCTCTGCATCCCGAAGCACAAATTTAAACATAAAAATTAGATTATCTGTTCGTATGTCTATCTGAATCAAAGTTTTTTTCCTTTTTAAAGATTTGCGGGTTATCCCAATATAAGTTAGAATTTTATTTTTATAATGTTTTTCTTTTTTAAAATTGAGATGGGTCTTGCTATGTTGTCCAGGCTGGTCTCAAACTCCTGGGCTCAAGTGATCCGCCTGCCTCAGCCTCCCAAAGTGCTAGGATTACAGGTGTGAGCCACCGTGCCTGGCCAAACTAGAATTTTAATACTTCTTACCTCTTCCCCATCAGGCAGAACATCAATAGACTGGAAGAAGATACTGATAAAGATGCTTCTATTAACAAAAAATTTCACACAGCAAAATTTAAGCTTCTCCATATGAAGACATTATTATCAAAATCTTCCTATAACACTTTTAGGGAAGAGGTGAAAAAAATATTTAAAAGTCGCGTCTTAACCAGGAGGCTCACTGACAGATATGGTTCTTAGAATAGAAGGTCATCACCCCAAAGGTCTTATAATTAAATTAAAGTAAAAACAATAGAGACCTTATAAACACATTTCACAACACCAAAGGCTGATTTTATACTTCTATATCAAAACATCAAACAATTTGATGATCATACCAATGGCCTGTAAAAATAATGGCACAAAACTATCTTCCCATGGACTTTTAAAAAGAACCAAAGCAAGAAAGTACTAGTTTACAACTAGAACCCATTCTCTTGTAAAAGAGACTTTTGTGGGAGGGAGGGAGTGTGCACAAGGAGTAGCATTTCCCATTTTACAGCAAGACTCAATTAATATTATATCTGGTTAATGAATTGTAAATAAGGTGGTCATCTGATCATGATTAGAATGAGTTGTCAGGGTCTAAGCAAAAAAATCAGACACCCTGGAACCAACCCAAATGCCCATCAATGATAGACTGGATAAAGAAAATGTGGCACATATACACCATGGAATACTATGTAGCCATAAAAAAAGGATGAGTTCATGTCCTTTGCAGGGACATGGATGAAGCTGGAAACCATCATTCTCAGCAAACTAACACAGGAACAGAAAACGAAACACCACATGTTCTCGCTCGTAAGTGGGAGCTGAACAATGAGAACACATGAACACAGGGGAGGGGAACATCACACACTGGGGCCTGTCAGGGGGTGGAGGGCTAGGGGAGGGATAGCATTAGGAGAAACACCTAACGTAGATGACACGTTAATGGGTGCAGCAAACCACCATGGCACGTGTATACCTATGTAACAAAACTGCATGTTCTGCACATGTATCCCAGAACTTAAAGTATAATAAAAAAAAAAAAAAAGTATTCAGTTGAAAAAAAAAATCAGACACCCCTAAATATGAAGTTTAAAAAACTACAGTCATTCAAAAGTTGTTTTGGTTTTTATATTTTGTGGAATTGGGGAGTGAAGAAAGAGATGAAAATGGTGTAAGAAAGAATTACATGGAAACAATATTATACAAAGAGAACAGACTACCTTTGAGATCAGCACTTTATTTACCTGATGTGTTCCATTAACTTTCTAAACTCTTTTTCCCAGATTCTTCTCTATAGACAATTTTATGCCAACTGCCTGAGGCATATGGAGCTAGATTCAAAAGCATTTCTTTAGGAATATGAACTATAACTTTCCCTAAAAAACAAAGTATAGAAAATACTGCAAATGGCTGGGCGTGGTAGCTCATGCCTGTAATCCCAGTGCTTTGGGAGGCCAAGGCAGGCGGATTGCCTGAGTTCAGGAGTTCGAGACCAGCCTGGGCAACATGGTGAAACCCTGTCTCTACCAAAAATACAAAAAATTAGCTGGGCATGGTGGCATGCACCTGTAGTCCCAGCTACTTAGAAGGCTGAGGTGGGAGGATCGCTTGAACGTGGGATGTCAAGGCTGCAAATGAGCCAAGATTGTGCCACTGCACTCCAGCTTGAGTGACAGAGGGAAGGGGAGGGGAGGGGAGGGGAGGGGGTGGGGAGGAGTGAAGGGGAGGGGAGAGGAGAGGAAAGGAAAGGAGAAAAAAGAAAAGTAAAGACTGCAGGTATAGGTGAAAGTCTGCTAAAAATCTGTTTTCTGAAAATGCCTTTTGGTATTCATACATTCATGTACTTAATTTTATAAGAAACCCCTTCAAGAGTAAGGATAGAACTGTGATTTTTTTTTTCAATAACATAGTGTGGTGAAATGAACAGGATGGCTTCCCCATCCTCAGATTCTTGATTTGCAGTTCCGAATATCTGTAGTACGTGAAAACCCATACTCTCTCCTCACTCATCATGATGACATACTTTTTACTTTCAGTAAAAGTATCCCTTATTCATGGTACCTAAAAGAAAAGCAAATAGGGCCAGGCGCGGTGGCTCACGCCTGTAATCCCAGCACTTCGGGAGGCCAAGGCGGGTGGATCACAAGGTCAGGAGATCGAGACCATCCTGGCTAACCCGGCGAAACCCCGTCTCTACTAAAAATACAAAAAATTAGCCAGGCGTGGTGGCGGGCACCTGTAGTCCCAGCTACGCGGGAGGCTGAGGCAGGAGAACGGCATGAACCCAGGAGGTGGAGCTTGCAGTGAGCGGAGATCGCGCCACTGCACTCCAGCCTGGGAGACAGCGCAAGACTTCATCTCATAAAAAAAAGAAAAAGAAAAAAAGAAAAGCAAATAGTAGAGCAGCAGTTGGGTGACAGAATTAAAAAAAAAAAAAAAAAAAAAAAAGAAGGGAAAAACATCCACATGGGTCTTTTCTCTCTATATTAAAAATGTGGATGTATCTATATCCATTTGATAAGGTTTGGTGATAGAAATGGGAATAGAACCTCTAGAAATGGGAGGACAGAGTTGGTAAGAGAGAGTTAACATAAGAAAACTGGAGAGACTGTCTCCTACAGGCTTTTGAGTAGGACCAAGGAAGGAGAGAGTGTTAGTTTAACAGAACCCATTCCCTTGTAAAAGGAGAAAAATAAGGTGGTCATATAATGTCTTGCCAGGTCCAAGTCAAAAATCAGACACATTCAAACATGAAGTTTAAAAAGGGAGGAGAAGGCCGGGCGCGGTGGCTCAAGCCTGTAATCCTAGCACTTTGGGAGGCCCAGACGGGCTGATCATGAGGTCAGGAGATCAAGACCATCCTGGCTAACACGGTGAAACCCCGTCTCTACTAAAAAATACAAAAAACTAGCTGGGCGAGGTGGCAGGTGCCTGTAGTCCCAGCTACTCGGGAGGCTGAGGCAGGAGAATGGCGTGAACCCGGGAGGCGGAGCTTGCAGTGAGCTGAGATCCGGCCGCTGCACTCCAGCCTGGGCGACAGAGCGAGACTCTGTCTCAAAAAAAAAAAAAAGGGGGGGAGGAGGGAGTCACTCCATTAAAATTATTTTACTTTTAACCCTTTTCTCCAGGGGCTTGGGGGGTGGAAGAGAATAAAGAGATTATAAATTGAATTGGCCAATCACTAAGCTCTTTGACTCATGCTTCCACTTATCATCCCCATCCTACAATATCAGCATAAAAGGCAACACAATTTTTCTCAAGTCCCAGCTCCAAGAGTGCCACAGACCCTCAACTCAAGAATTCCTTGGTTTATGGGGGCAGGAGGGAACAAATTCTATATTTTTAGGGTACATATAGGGTATTCACATGCCCTTTGAATTGAAAATCTCCTTGATTTTCTGGAGAGAAGTAGTTCAAAAGTATAACCCTTGCTTAGAGAAGAAAAAGTCAAATCAGTCAAAGCTTCTGTAGCCCCAGAGCAACCACAATTAGTTCTAGTGTAATATGTGCTCTATTTAATGTTTGCCTAAGATTATACTCTTGTTTGGTCTCAGCATAGAAAGTGTTATTACAGATTGTCTTCTCTGCAACTTTAAAAAACATGCTTAAATGGAATGATAATTATCTTCTCCATGGAAGTGTTTTCTCCTGATGAGCCACCAACAAATCTAGAAAAAGGGAAAAGCTTGCTCTCCTTCACACTGGAATGAAAGCCACTTCAGTCGCATTATTCTACTTTTTTGAAATGTCTATTTTTAACTATAATCTAGTAGGATGGTAAACACATTTATGAATATAAGAAGTATAAACTTTAAACATCTACTGTCTAATAATTGATTTCAATCAATCAGTACTTTAAAAAGCCCCAAAATGCTTACTTTAATTTCAACTTGCTCTTCCATTTCTTTCGTTTTTATTGTAGTGTATTCCTTTTCAAGCCTAAGAAAGGAAAAAAAAAAAAGAGTTAAAGGTAATGTTTTCATTCAAAAGTAGTTATTAAATTACAAAATTTAAAAATACATATGAACATAAAATACAATTTATTTAGTTTCCTCTAGCTTGTAACTTGGAGATATTTGATGTGAGAATAATCATGTAGCTTCATGAGTTCTTATTAAAAACTCACTTTACAAGTGACAAAAATAAAAATCACACAAAAAGAAAATTTAGAAAGTGAAATGTATAAATCACAAAATACAACTGAGTTTACGATTCTATTCAGCTCTAAACTTACAAATGAAGCATCTATTCTTTTTCCTCAAATTAAAACACACCTGTAGGTTCAACTGGCTCTTAACTTAAAAATCCTGGTACCAACATGGACTTTTTTTTTTGTTTTTTTTTGAGACGGAGTCTCCCTCTGTCTCCCAGGCTTGTGTGCAGTGGCCGGATCTCGGCTCACTGCAAGTTCCACCTCCCGGGTTTACGCCATTCTCCTGCCTCAGCCTCCCGAGTAGCTGGGACTACAGGCGCCTGACACCTCGTCCGGCTAGTTTTTTGTATTTTTTTAGTAGAGACGGGGTTTCACCGTGTTAGCCAGGATGGTCTCGATCTGACCTCGTGATCTGCCTGTCTCGGCCTCCCAAAATGACTTTAAAAATTTTAATGAGGGAAAGAGGACAACTCTTCCTTACAGAAGAATTTCAATTAATAGACATAGAAGGAATAAGGTAAAGATAAAAATCACCTTTAGAATTCCACAGTAATAACCACTGCGGGAGGAAACACTAATGGATGCTAAAGTTAGTGGGTGCAAGTTTTAAGCATAGTCTCAAATTATTACTCCTAAAATATTTCGTGTTAAAGGAAAATACTAAATTTATAGTACAGAATCCTAGCAGACTGCACCTGAACTGATTAAGGTTACCATCACCAGTAATACATACTGACATCATGCATCCCTGTTAAGATGTACTGAGTTAAGTGAATTAACACAGGAACAGAAAACCAAAACCCATGTTCTCCCTCACAACTAGGAGCTAAACACTGGGTACTCAGGGACATGAAGATAGGAACAACAGACACTGAGGACTAACAGAAGGGGAAGGGAGGGAGGAGGACAAGGGCTGAAAAACTAACCGTTGGGTACTATGCTTGCTATCTGGGTGATGGGATCATTCATATATCAAACCTCAGCATCATGCAATATGCCCATGAAATAAATATGTGCATGTACCCCCGAATTTAAAATAAAGGTCAAAATTATTTAAAAATAAAAATAATTTAAAACATGACACTGGGCACAGTGGATCATGCCTCTAATCCCAGCACTTTGGGGGGCCCAAGTGGGCCAACTGCTTGAGGCCTGGAGTTCAAGACCAGCCTGGGCAACATGGTGAAACCCAGTCTCTACAAAAAATACAAAAATTAGCCAGGTGCAGTGGGTGCATGCCTGTAGTTGCAGGTACTCAGAGGCTGAGGTGGGAGGATTGCTTGAGCCGGGGAGGTCAAGGTTGCAGTGAGCAGTGATCAAGCCACTGCACTCCAGCCTGGGAAACAGAGCGGGACCCTTCCCCCCAATCCCCCAAAAGTGATAAACCATTAAAAAAAAAAAAAAGATGTACTGAAAAGGGCATATCACCTCTGTGATCTGTCACTGATTGGAGGAGAGTAAGCATGATATGCAATTCTACTGTAAGTCTAAAATAACCTTTATAAAAATGTATAGGCCACACAAAAATTAGTATCACCAAATTTTTTTATCTTGCTCTTGACAAAAAATATTAATACCAAGTTTACTTACTAGGCTCCAAATAACTTATAGCTGCTTTCAAAAATAAAATTCTCCCTCAAAGGACAGAAATCTATTACTTATCTCATTTAGCTCACAACAACTTTTTAATATAAGTTGTTATATCCACTCTGAGGTTTAGAAAGCTTGAGAAACTTCTGTATGGTCACAGCTTTGACTGCTACATTACTCTGTCTCTCACTAAAGTGTATCTTAAAACAGGGGTCCGCAACCCTTGGGCAGTGGACCAATACCAGTCTGTGGCCTGTTAGGAACTGGGTCACACAGCAGTAGGTGGACGGCAGGCAAGTGAACATCACTGCCTGAGCTCCGCCTCCTGTCAGATCAGTGGCAGCATTAGATTCTCATAGGAGTGCAAACCCTATTGTAAATTGTGCATGCTGGGGATCTAGGTTGTGCGCTCCTTATGAGAATCTCATGGCTGATGATTTGACGTGAGGTGGAACAGTTTCAACCTGAAGCCATACCTGCAGCCTCTATAAGTGGATAAATGGTTTTCCATGAAAGCAGTCCCTAGTGCCAAAAAGGCTGGAGACCACTGTCTTAAAAGACTGTAAGATAGCTGAAAGAATTTATTAAAGACTCCAAAGAGCTGCAAAACATTTTGAACAGCTGCACTATTAAGTTTATAGCCTTCACAAATGACTACTCTGAAGTAGTTATCATGACGCATTATGTAAAAACATCACTCATTTACACACCTAAAAATAAACCCTACTTATTTCACTCCACTGATAGTGTTTTTAATAAACTTAATTTTTTAAAAAAAGTATTGTTTACAAAATGACTGTGAAGATAGTACAGATATTCCATGTATCCCATCCCAGTTTCCCCTATTATTAATATGTTACAGTAGTATAGTACATTCCAGCCCAGGCGACAGAGCGAGACTCCGTCTCAAAAAAAAAAAAAAATAACGAACCAATATTAACATATTGCTGTTACCTAAAGCCCATGACAGTTTTGAGGAGAACCTTGACAGTTTTGAGGAGTACTGGTCAGGTATTTTGTAGTTATCATTATGTGATCTTCAAATGGGACCATTATGTCCTTCAAATGGGATTTGTCTCATGTTTTTCTCATGATTATACTGGGGTTATTGGGTTTTCAGGAGGAAGACCACAGAAGTAAATGCCATTTTCATTACCTCATACTAAGGGTACAAACTATCAACAGAACATCACTACTGATGTTGACCTTGATCACCTGGCTGAAGCAGTACATACCAGGTTTCTCCAGTGTAAAGTTATTTGTTCCCCCTTCACTGACAGTGCTTTTAGACCCGCATTATAGTTTGTCTAAATCACTAGAAAATACTCATAATTGTTCTTTCTATGGCCAGTTTCATAACTCAATGTTTTCTATTCACTATTAACAGAGGGATCTTTTCTTAAAATGTTGATTTGGATCATGCCACACCCAGAGTGTCCATGGTTACTCATTACCTTCAGACTAAATTTCAAACGCTTACAAAAAAGTAATCAAAGCTCTCTGGAGAAATAGCTCATTACTGCACAGGAGCCAAGCAGGTATAAGTGGAACCTGGAACATTTTGTTGCCCTAAAGAAATGAAATTCCCAAAGAAAAACGGGAAAAATATCCAAAGAACAATGCACCCAGCTTGCAAGGGTTCCCACTGGACAAAGCAGGGACAATTTAATAGTAATGGATTATAGCTCACTGAATAAAATAATTCATGAATTCACACTGATGTAAATAAATGAATAAATAAATGAGGGTGAAGGGAAAGCTCTTCCTTACAGTAGAATGCTGATTAATAAATGAAGAACGAGGGAGTGTAGGAAAATCATAAATGGATATAAAACTGGTATGGTAAAGTTTGGTAAAGAAAGAGGTTACTACGGCCAGGCGCAGTGGCTCACGCCTGTAATCCCAGCACTTTCGGAGGCGAAGCGGGCGGATCATGAGGTCAGGAGATCGAGACCATCCTGGCTAACACAGTGAAACCCCATCTCTACTAAAGATACAAAACATCAGCCGGGCGTGGTGGTGGGCGCCTGTAGTCCCAGCTACTCGGGAGGCTGAGGCAGGAGAATGGTGTGAACCTGGGAGGTAGAGCTTGCAGGGAGCCGAGATCGCGCTGCTGCACTTCAGTCTGGGCGACAGAGCGAGACTCCGTCTCAAAAAATTTAAAAAAAAAAAAAAAGAAAGAGGTTACTACATAATCTCAAAGTAGCCTGCCACAAATTACCTATTACAAAAGGGGAAATAACTTTACAGTAGTAAAATCTGGCAGACATCACCTTAATCAAGTGACCAAAGCTAACATTACCAGTTTTGAGAGAAAGCAATATCATATATATCATATGGTGAACCGAGAAGATATAATATCAGGGGTATACCTGCCAAAAATGCACAACCTGAATCTAATCCTGGGGAAATTCCAGAAAAACTCAAACTTCGAGATTTTCTACAAAATAATTGGCCTGTACATTCTTTAAATATATCAGAAACACAAAGACTGAGGAAATGTGTCAGATTAAAGAAAACCAAATAGGTATTAACACCTAAATCCTACACATGATCCTAGAATGGACCCTGGATGGAGGGGTGGGGAGATAGTTATACAGCATATTATTGTAACTGGTGATAAAATCTGAACATACACTGTGGATTAGATAATAATATTGTATCTATTAGGTTGGTCGAAAAGTAACTGTGGTTTTTGCCATTGAAAGTAATGCAAAAATTGCAATTACTTTCGCACCGACCTAATATAATTTCCTTGTTTTGATTAACTACTGGGCTTGTGTTAAAGGAGAGAAAAGTAGTTGTTCATAGGAAGTACACATTCAAGTATTCATGGATAAAAGGCACAATATCTAAATTTACTCTCAAATGGACCTCCCCCAAAATGGGAATGGATTTTACATACACACACACACACACACACACACACACACACACACACACTACATTTACATACGCATATGGAGGAGAGAGGATAATAAAGCAAATGGGATGAAATGTAAATAATTGCTGAGTCTTGGTAAAGAGTATATCAGACCCCTGGTACTATATTTGTAACTTTTTTATAAGTTTAAAAGTAAACCAACATAAAAATTCACCAAAAAAAGTCAAAGGCTAAGACTCAACTCTTACAACTTTTATGTAGTAAAGGAACCTCTGAGCCTTTGTACTTATTACCGTTCTTCTCAAAATGCCC